GGTCCCGCTTGTGCCAGAGGTTGAGAAAACGAAAGGGCGAAAGTTTACCAAGGCTATTCAAAACTTACGAAGAACTGATTAAAGGGACACTAAACTTGCCTTTTATATGCGCGTGGTGACGCTGAAAGGTTCGATTACAAAACCAATAGAAATACACAAAAACAGATAAGCATTGTAACTATGTGGCTATCTAAGATCATTCTGAAATCAGTGAACTAATCAATAATCAATCAAAAAAATGAGCCTTCTGGCTAATGTCCTTAACACGCAGCAAATCCAATTATTACGCTCGAAGTCCTCGAAGCTCGCCGTCAACAAAACGTCGTTCGATCCATGTGACAGAAGCTTGGATCCCATGTGACAAACTGTTATAATTGACTATAATTGACACATTTTTCGCATTCTGAGCGTTTTTAGTTGCAGAACAAAATTTGAATTTCCAGTTTCAACCGACAGAGCTGAATAATGAAATGCTACGTCAGAGGGTATGCGGTCAACAACGCGGGCTCATAGGTCCTAGGTCTAAATTTCGCGAAATTAGTGGAAAATAATAAGGGTTGACTTTTCAAACCGAGGAACTCTGTTTTCGTCGAAGGCATTTTCCTATTTCCAGAGGTTTTAAGGAGAAAATTAATTTCTGAAAATTTTTAGGGGGTGTTCTGTAAAAGAAAAGCGGCAAGGAAAACGACGCCTCGAAGCAACAGAATAGAAAATGAACCATGCGAACGTCGCGAACGACTCAAAATCCGTGTTTCCGCGGCAAAACCTGGCGGATGCGTATACGTTATTCAGCTCTGTCGTTTCAACTTCCTTGTTATAAACGTGGCGCGCACGCGTAATACACAATCCGCTGATCACTGTCAAGATTAGGGTTCCGGGCCTCTCTTGGGTCCGCAAAAAGGTTTTTCTTGTGACTCAGTTAAAATAGTGATGCACAAAGCAAGATTGTAATAAGACTCAGACTTGATGGTAACATACTTTCCAAATTTTAGTGAGCTTCAACGAATCTCTGCAATAGAACACCAAATTTAATGTTTATTCAGTTTTCAATTTGACAATTAAGCTAATATTGGGTGCCCAAAGTGTAAAACAGGTGCTTATTTAAACACCTGTGCTACCTCAAGAGAATGTATTGGGTGTAAGATTTACATGAGGTGGACTGATTACGAGTGCAAGTCCCTAAGGATACGGTAGACCTTCACAGGTGTCCTTTGTAAAAAATATTAATGTGCTATTAGAAGCTTAACCATCATAAGCAATATATTAACAGATAGGTTATGAAATGAACTGTCAGACAAATTTTTTTTTCTAATTTAGCTTGATCTAATTGCAAACTGAGGCACAACAATTCAAAGCAAACAATGTTTCTTCAGGCAAATTAATCTGCTAACAATCTGACAAATAACACTTCTGCACAGTCGTAATCTTTCTTCTTTCACAATCTAGTTTCTGAAACAATCAACAATGCTTAGTCTGACATGAAAAAAAAATTTCCCCACAAATTTGCCCTCGAAAATTTACCATACTCCCAAGATCAAGAATAGTTCGTAGCATTCTATAAAGCTCATTCTACTTGAAAGAATGGCATAAGTAATAGTAAATTCAATTTTCAAATGGCTCTCTTTACAGATATCTGGGCATGAGTTTTTATTTCAATCTGCCCTTCACTCCTTCACTTGGGGAAAATACTCTGTTCTCAGGGTTAGAGTCTAGATTGGGGCATAGTGATAAGAGCGAGTCACATGCAAGTCCAGTTGGGAACAAATGGAAAACTAACAAAACAATGACACAGAATGGAAACAATTTTTAAAGAAGAAAATAATATAATCACCAACTCTGACATCAACTCTCAGAGTGTTTTCAATCATAGTGAAAATATATGTTCTACTTTTCATTGGATATCAGTGGAACCCTTTAAGTCACCTTAACCCCGTTGATTCTATTGTTACAAAAATTAGTAAAAATGCTGGGCTACTTGCAAAGCTATGCCACTCTGTACCTCAACAAATACTATTGAATATCTATAAGTCACAAATCAATCCACCCTTATTTAGTCTATGGTGTTGCCATCTGGGGTCAGGCATGCAAGACTTATCTTAACAAAATTCTTATTCTTCTGAAAAGAGCCCTTTGTGTGCTGTACTTCGCAGACTGGCATGACCATGCAATTCCTTTATTTCTTAGAGCAAATGTACTACCAATAACTTTTCTTTATGAAAAGTCTGTATCAACCCTAATGCACAATGTCAATAATGATAGAGCCCCAGCAAACATACTAAATCTATTTCAAAAAACGTCTAATATTCATTCATACAATACACGATCATTTACGTTTGGAAAGTTCTATATCAAAAGTTTGAGACTAGTAATACAAAAGAATTCCTTCTCTCAAATCGAGTAAAGCTGTGGAATAAGATACCAAGTTGTATAACAGATCTCCCAAAGAAAGCTTTCAAAAAAGTCCTTTGCAAATTGCTATTTGATATCTTAGAAAATGAAGAGATCTATATTCAAATCCCCATGATCATTGAAAATGTAGGTAAATAGCCACACCTTCTAAGTTAAAATGTCTTATCTTTTTCTGTGTGACTCTGTGACTGTGTAAATAATGACTCCTCCTGAGATATAAGACGATTTATGTTATTCAGGTACTTGTCTTGCTCTGCCACAATTAGCTTTCTTGCTATCTATGGTGCGAACTATCCCATTGTTATTTTATGTAAAAAATCAAAGAATAAATTGTTGTTGTTGTTGTAGGAAAAAGTCGACAGTTGCTCTACAACTATCAATCTGACCATAGGCAATCTAGAAACATTGTTATTCAAGAATCTTGCACCTTTTGATTATTTCATCCAACTCCTCCTTATGCTTGCCTCCATGTTTCCTGGCAGAGGTTTTCACAAACTCGACTAGGCAAATCCCTGGTAATACAGAAAAAGGAGAACGTGCCTTCACAATGTTATGTAGTACATGTCTCACCAGTTGCTGTGTGGCAGTATCAGAAGTCATCATATGTGCCGTTTCACGAGTGTGATTTGATTGTGGTGCATTTTGAATGCCATCTCTCTTAACTAGTGTGTCAACCTCAAGGACGTTTTTTCTTGTTACAACACCAACTACTCTTAACTGGTCATTGATCCAACGGAGGACTGGACTTCCATAGTTTCCCGAGTTAAGAGGGCATTCCAACGGAATCGTTGAATCACCTGATATGGGCTCGCTTGGACAGACTTTTCCATTGACAACAAGGGCTCTTTCACCTCTGTAACTCATTGGATAACCAAAACAAATAATTGGCAAATCTGGTGACAACAGCTGGTTTGATAGCGGCAAGAGACGGTTTTTCTCTAAATTTAGGTCATGGCAACGCAGTAAAGCCAAGTCGTTTAATTCGTCAACATCGAATACTTGGCAAGGAAGCTTACCGATAGCTGCATTGGAAATATACACTACGTATCCCTCTGCGCGATCATTAAAAGCTGATTCAACCACTTGCTTACTCGTGACTACAAAATGATCGTTGAGAATAATCCCTGAACCATGCTTTAGTGCGGTTGGTTCAAAAACAGGTCGCTGCTTTCCCATCACACAACTGCAGGTTCGTTGAACGGCTTGAGGTTTTTCTCTTTCGTTGTAACCGTCTTCCACTCCAACTTTATCTAAGAGTTGTTCCACTTTCTTTCTAGGGTTACAAAGAGCTACGAATCCATTCCGTTCGTTGCATCTAGAAAGCTCTGGTTTTCCAAATGTATCACACTGTAATTGAACGATGAAATCATTCTTCACGCCGAACATGTCGAACCTTTGCCTTGCTTTCTCTGAGACTTTTATTTCTAGAGATACTTTTACGCACAAGTCTAGGGCTCCTCTTCCCCTTTCGCCTAAAATATCGCCGCTGTACTCGGAACACATTATAGAAGTTAATCACAAACACAGCCTTGTCTCTTGCCGCTTGCTTTCCTCCAAAGATTTACACGCCATTTCGCTGTGTTGTAAACCTGAAAGAATCGGCGCTCTACATGAGAAACATCGGCGCTCCTTCCCACCACATCTTGGGGAACCAATGAGCGTTCCCCTAAAATGTGGGAACCAATGAGCGCTCACGCGATCGTTTTGCATACAGTTTCTGGTTGCAGAGGCCGTGGACTCTTTGTAAGGTGACATGTAGAGCGCCGATTCTTTCAGGTTTACAACACAGCGAAACGGCGTGTAAATCTTTGGAGGAAAGCAAGCGGCAAGAGACAAGGCTGTGTTTGTGATTAACTTCTATAATGTGTTCCGAGTACAGCGGCGATATTTTAGGCGAAAGGGGAAGAGGAGCCCTAGACTTGTGCGTAAAAGTATCTCTAGAAATAAAAGTCTCGGAGAAAGCAAGGCAAAGGTTCGACATGTTCGGCGTGAAGAATGATTTCATCGTTCAATTACAGTGTGATACATTTGGAAAACCAGAGCTTTCTAGATGCAACGAACGGAATGGATTCGTAGCTCTTTGTAACCCTAGAAAGAAAGTGGAACAACTCTTAGATAAAGTTGGAGTGGAAGACGGTTACAACGAAAGAGAAAAACCTCAAGCCGTTCAACGAACCTGCAGTTGTGTGATGGGAAAGCAGCGACCTGTTTTTGAACCAACCGCACTAAAGCATGGTTCAGGGATTATTCTCAACGATCATTTTGTAGTCACGAGTAAGCAAGTGGTTGAATCAGCTTTTAATGATCGCGCAGAGGGATACGTAGTGTATATTTCCAATGCAGCTATCGGTAAGCTTCCTTGCCAAGTATTCGATGTTGACGAATTAAACGACTTGGCTTTACTGCGTTGCCATGACCTAAATTTAGAGAAAAACCGTCTCTTGCCGCTATCAAACCAGCTGTTGTCACCAGATTTGCCAATTATTTGTTTTGGTTATCCATTGAGTTACAGAGGTGAAAGAGCCCTTGTTGTCAATGGAAAAGTCTGTCCAAGCGAGCCCATATCAGGTGATTCAACGATTCCGTTGGAATGCCCTCTTAACTCGGGAAACTATGGAAGTCCAGTCCTCCGTTGGATCAATGACCAGTTAAGAGTAGTTGGTGTTGTAACAAGAAAAAACGTCCTTGAGGTTGACACACTAGTTAAGAGAGATGGCATTCAAAATGCACCACAATCAAATCACACTCGTGAAACGGCACATATGATGACTTCTGATACTGCCACACAGCAACTGGTGAGACATGTACTACATAACATTGTGAAGGCACGTTCTCCTTTTTCTGTATTACCAGGGATTTGCCTAGTCGAGTTTGTGAAAACCTCTGCCAGGAAACATGGAGGCAAGCATAAGGAGGAGTTGG